CACATCTCAGCAGCCGCCCCTCCCCTCCCCACCTCTCCTTAGCTCCTCCCCTTAGGTTAGGGACCTTGCCCGGTGGGCAGGTCGGGCATCTTGGAAGGGAAAATGTATAGGTGCATTCTTGCAGCAGGGACATGGGTGGGCAGGAGCAAAGGACTTGGCAGTTAGCCCAACCCAGTGTCTCCATTCCTCTGATACCCTTTACCCATGAGGACACCGCCAGCTGCTGCAGCCACCAGACAGCCATTCCCAGAGGAGTGGCACCAGGTCGGAACGCACCCCTGGTTGCCATGGCAGCAGGAGGGATTACACACCAGGACGTTAACCCAGGGATGCAAGAGAAATTTAAAGGGACAGCTCCACCTCAAAACAGTCCACATCCCAGCCTTGATTCCAAGAAAAGAGGAAGTGGACTAAAGAGGGAAGAGAGTGTAGAGCTATAGGTCTGGAGACTCAAGAGGCAAGTTCTCTGAACTTGCTGATGCCATAGCCCACATATTTCCCAACTCATCCCCAACCCTCAGGAAAGGGGCCCTCGACTTACTAGAAGTAAAGTTGGGTCTTTCTGCAAGAATACATTCACACCATCTCCCCATCACAATGCGGTGGTTCGTGTTGATCCATAGGGAAGGGAACTGTTAGCTTTTACTCTGCAGATCCCAAAGCTGGAATCTCCCCGGGAAGTGAGTGGGGAGAGGGAGGGTGAACCCTGACCCCAGAGGCGGTAGCACAGCTGTCTGGCCTGTAGGAAGCCGAAATGGCCACCAAATGAGAAGCAGCAGACCCATCATTAGATTTCTGAGGCTAAGAGCCAATCTAGACTAGGGTGGGCAGAGAGGGCCACCTGCAGGAAGGGCCAAGAGACTCATAGCCTTTGGGTCACACATCATCCCTTTATAGAAGAGGAAACTCAGGATCCAAGAGGTTAAGCTGCTTGTTCCTGTCCTCCTTCCGTTGGATGCAAGAAGGCAGAAGTAGCCATGGCATAACACCCAGGAGATCAGGGGCCCCAGGAGTCCTCAGAGGAAGCAGGCCTATACCCTCGTTCCTGGACTCCACTCCCTGCCTGATCCCCACTGCACCCATCAAGTGGCCTGCAGCAGAGAAGTCAAATTCTCTTCCCTCTACACCCCTGCCAGGCACTATTAATGGGTTTACTGGATAGCCCCAGATTGAGAGGCCCTTAATCAGAGGCTCAGAGATGGGTTTAATTAACCCCTAAGCAGCTTACAGTGGGGCCCAGGCAGACTGGAGCAGCAGAAGAGCCCAGGGAGTCAGCAGGCTGGACACAAGATGGGGATGCTGAGCCCTCTAAGGCCATCAAAGCTGGGGGACATTACTACAGTTCCTCTACTACATGGAGAAAAGGCCTTTCTTGGGGGATGAGGATGTCACAGTGTAGGGTCTGGCCCATTTAGAGTAGCTTTCACTTTCCTGTTTCACTTTCTCAGACAGGAGAGTCATTCTAACTAAATTGGCAGACCTGGAGCATCTTGCAGAGGCAGCAGCAGTGCCCAGAGCAAAGGAAGGGGCCAAACACGGGCAGGAGGCATCCAGGCAGGGCAATGTCAGATGATTCAGAGCTCAACCAGAGTGGATCGCAGCATTAGGGCTCCTAGCCTCTAGCATAGGGAACTTCACCAAGAAAGTCCCCAAATGCACACCAGGGCCCATGAACCCCCAGATTGGAATGCAGATTTTGAGCACAGAAGCATTTGTCTATAGTGAGGACCCCCAGCTCTACCAGATTCTCAAAAGGGGATCCAGGACCAAGAAAAGTTAAGAACACTTCTCTTGTCCAATCATCTTACCTTACAGATGGGAACACCTAGGTCCTAAAAAGGACTCAAGGTCACGGGCTAATTGAGTTAATAACCCAGCTGCACAGCACAGTAACTGTTAATACTCCAATTATAGGAATATCCTTTCCCCATCATAGACTTACAGTTTCATATCCACCTCTTTATAGAAGAGGAAACACAGGTTCCAAAGGGTTAAGTAATTTGCTCCTGAGACTTCCTAGCTCATCTGGGTGACCTGCTCCTTGCCTAAGACCTCCCACAGAAGCAAATCCAGGCTTCCTGAACTAGCATTCTCCGAATGCAGCTTCTTGCACCCCAGCGAGCACACACACACACACACACACCTCAATCTCCCAAACATGTTGCTTTACTCCACCCATCTGGTGGCCACAGCATGGTGGACGTCTCAGCCCCAGGCTATTCTGCTACAGTCCTTCCACCCCCAAGCCATCTTCCAAAGGCCAGGTCCTAAGGGCCACCTCACCAACCAGCCTGGCCCCAGGACACTGCCCCCCCCCCAAGCAATACTGTGGATCATCTCTGGGGCATTGCATGCCCCTGTCCTCCATGGAGGTGAGTTGTGCTGTGTCTCCAGGCCCAACCTGGAACAGGTGCAGCCGGGCCATAGAAGCTGCTCAAAGGAAAGGCTGAGTGGCAGGATGGAGCAGCCATGTCTGAATTGCTACTATCCGCCCCCTCAAGTCCCTGCCCAGCACTCTCCAAACTACTGATACAAACTGACATCCTCAGCCCCTTCTTACCAGACTCAGAGTTGGTGGCAGCAACTGGCATGGTGAGGTCTGCAAGGGCTCTGAAATGTGTCTCCTGGAGAAGGGGAGAGAAAAGAATGAGAAAGCACAATGGCAAAGCAATGCAGAAGGAATTAGGAAGGGCCTCTCCTCAGGATCAGGGCACTCCCCAGAGACTGCATGATGCCACAGTCCTGGGAAGCAGGAAGAGCAGGTATTCCATGCCCATTTCTCCAAGGAGGAGGAGCTGGAGGATCAGAGAGGTTAATTGCTTTGCTCAAGGTCACAGAGCTAATAAAGGGAGCTACATCGAAAATCCAGGTTTTATTACTCTTTTATTATTTTTTAAGGTATGTATCTTTTTTAATATTTATTTATTTATTTATTTATTTATTTATTTATTTATTTATGATAGACATAGAGGGGGGGGCAGAGACAGGCAGAGGGAGAAGCAGGGAGCCCGATGTGGGACTCGATCCTGGGACTCCAGGATTACACCCTGGGCCGAAGGCAGGAGCTAAACCGCTGAGCCACCCAGGGATCCCCGGTTTTATGACTCTTTTTAAAAAATTGTGTTTCTGCCTGCTGTTTGTCCTTTATTTATTTTGGGGGTGGTAAGAGTCCAGAACTTGAGTCAAAGCAGGAAAGATGGGCATTCTTAGACTGTAAGCTCCATGAAGTCATGAACTGCATCTGTTTTATTTTGCTTCTGGATCCCAAACCTAGCCACTGTAGATGCTCAACAAACACTCATCTGGCTGGCTGACAGAAATGAAGTCATACTTTCCCGAGGCCTCTCTGACTTCCTCTTTCTCCCTTTGCCCCTTCTCAGTCCAGAGCTGGGACAAGGAAACAGGGTGCTCCCTATTCTCCAGGGGAGGGTGCAGGGGAGACCCCACTACCCTTCTTCCCTTTGCCTTCCTGGGAACTTACTGCGGGAGAAAACCCTAATTCCCAGTTACCATGACAACAAGAGGCAGTGGCTCACAGCAGGGGTAGGGGAGAAGAGGAAAGCAGCTGGCAGTGCCCACTTTAGGACTGAATGCCTGCTGGGCCCTGGGGGTAGGAAGCCACAACTTCACCTCCCCCTAAAAAAAGGATTCTTCACAGAGGGACCATCACCAGGTTTTGATAAAACCCTCTCTAGTTCCATCCCTTCCACCCTCAGGCCAGAGCTGGTCACCTGAGCTCACGTAGCAGAAATTACAAAGGTCTGAAGATGACTCCCCTTCTTCCTGGATCTTCCCCTAAAGACACGGAAGAAAGGAGTTTTCAGGGAAAAGAAAGGCATCCCCTGTCGGGCTAGCACCCAGGCTGGGAGAAATGCCCAGGATCTACTGTGCCAGCCAGTGCCCCTGTGCCACCCCCTGCTGTCCCTATTCCTTCCCTCCTCCCTCATCCAAGGTCCTGACCACCTGAAACCTGGAGCTGTTCTCCCTGACAGTCAGTTACTGGCAGAGGGACTCCTGACATCCTCCTTCCTTAGAGACTGGAAGGTGAGAAGAGGCTGGGAGGATCCTGTCCCCTGGAGTCTTGCCCAGCCTGCCTGGGTTTTTCTCTGGGTAATCAGTTCCCACAGCATCGGCTAGCTCTTCCCCACCCCCACCCCAGCCTCTGGGAGGGCGGGGCCTGGCTTGTGCCCACATGAGAACAGCAGTGCCAGGCAAGCCAGTCTGGCTGTGGGCCAAGGTCCGGGGCCCAGGCTTCTGGGAACGGCCACCTCGGCTTCCAAAAGCCTGGGCCTCGGGTGTCCTCTCACCCCTACCTCCAGACTATCCACACCACCCAGGTTCAGTAGGTGATGCGGCCCCGGCGCGAAAGGGGGAGGTTTCCTGCAACCTCCCACCCACCCACCCCTCCACTAATAAGCATACAAAGAGGTCTTGGAGAGAAAGGTCTGACAAAGGCGCTTTGAAGACCCACCGGTCAAGGGGAGGGGTAGACAGACTGAGGGACTGGGGTCTAGAGACGTGCGGACCCGCACGCACCCCACCATCGGAGAGCCCCCGGCCCCACGAGCCGGGCCCTAACTGGCTGCGCGCTAGGACCTGGGGGAAGGGGGGCGTGTTGCGAGCCATCAAAGAAGGCTCTTTGCGAGCGCGCCCGCGGGAGACCGGGGGGATGAGGTCACTGAATGGATGCCCCCCGCTCCCGTCCTCACTCTCCCCGCCCCCACCCCTTAGTTGACCTAACTTTCTGACCCCGGCTCCTCGCTCCTGGCACCGATCCCCTCTCAGGTCTCCAAACCGTAACCCTAGTCCCCGACCACGACCCGCCCCCCCCCTACAGCCAGGGAGGAGAAAGAAGCAGCGCTCCCCTCTTCCCAAGACCCCCTCCCGGGGAAGGTTAAGGTGTTGGCATCCCAAGGGGGTCGCGGGGGGCCACTGGGACCCGTGCAACCTCTGTCTCGCGCCCCCAACCCCGGAAGCGCGAACAGCGCGGTTCTTACGTAATGCCGGGCCCCGAAGTCCCCCGAATGCGCACAGCCCCCGAAGAGGCCTCGCGGGTCCCGGAGCCCCGCGCAGCTCGCCGGCGTGGAGCCCTAACCGCGCGGGCCAGCAGCCAGAAGCAGCGGGCTCTGATTTCTCTCTAGGAGCCCGGGAGGAAGGAGGGAGGCCGGCGGCGGAGAGGGAGGGGACCAGGCTGAGCGAAGGGGCCCGGGGAGACCCGACCCAGGGAACCGGACCCCAGGTGCTGTGCCAGGACGAAGAGGAAACAAGGGCCCTGGGGGTGGGCGCTGGCCCGGGAGTCGGGGGGCGCTTACCTGCGCCCGGGGTAGCCCCCGGCTCCGTGCGGCTCCAGCGCAGCCCGGCGCTCCGCGTTTATTGCTTGTCAATCGCTACCCCGGCTCTTAAAGCGGCGAGGCCTCCTCTGCGCGAGGGGGCGGAGACCGGAGCCCAGAGGAAGGGAGGGGGCTCTGGCTGTCGCGGGAAAAGCCGGAGAAAGTAGCCTTTCCGTGCAGGTGGAGGGCAGGCGGGGAGGTGGTGGTTTGGAAGAAACCGCACAGCCCAAGATCCCCCCGCTCGCTTTCCACTCGGGGCTAGCACGGGCTTGGACTTGTTCCCACTAGCGGCCCTCGGCGCCCCGCGATCCCTTAAAAGGGCGATGGTGAAAGATCGCGCCGCTCCCTTCTCTCAGCTTAGAGCCGCCTTTCAATTCCGGGCGTGCTTCACCTTCCCCCGTTATCCTGTTTCCCAATTGGGAAAAGGAACAGGAGGAGTTTAGGGAGATCCCCAAGGCGCCAGAGATCCATCCCCACAGAGTCTTAGACTCAGCGGCAGCTTCCAAGGACTCGGATGGTGGATAGCTGGATTCCGGGTCTCTAGAAGAATTTGCAAAGACGAGGAAACGTCTTTGAGAGGGAGTTCCAGATCTTTTTTTTTAAAAAGGTTTTATTTATTTATTCATGAGAGACACACAGAGGCAGAGATATAGGCAGAGGGAGAAGCAGGCTCCCGGCAAGGAGCAGGAGGAGGGACTCGATCCCAGGACTCCAGGATCACCACCCAAACCAAGGCAAACGCTTAACCACTGAGCTACCCAGGCATCCGCAGATCGTATTTTAAGTCTAGACGGGAGAGCTGGTCCATACCCCTGTCTACAGAATACAGAAAGAAGTAATTTGCTATCCTTCCTCTGAGTTCCATTTCAAGAAATAGTGTTAAACCCACTTAGGTGTCTGCCTTCATCCAGCTTCCTCCAGCTCCACCACAGACCTGCTTGTGAAAGACAGTGTGGATACTTGAAGGGTCAGCCTGGAGACCACCCTTCGGCTCAGACAGCCTAGCATATGGGGCCAGCTGCAATACTTCTCTGACCTCAGTGTCCCCCACCCCCTTTGATTGCCTTCCAGAACATGCAGAGATTATTCTTCTTTCTTGCTAGCTAGGCTCCTAAAACCAGAAATGGATCCCGGTGCCTGGCTGGCTCAGTCAGTGAAGCCTGATGCTCTTGATCTCAGGGTTGTGAGATTGAGTCCCACTTTGGGTGTAGAGATTACTTAAAAATAAAATATTTGTTTTTATTATATTTAGGTAGGCTCCATGCCCAACACGAGGTCTTGAACTCGTGACCCTGAGACCAAGAGTAGCATGCTCTAAAGCCAGGCATCCCCCAAAGAAAATCTTTTTAAAAACGAAAGAAAGAGAGAGAGAAATGGACTGCATCCTGACATTTGCTTAGAAATCTCAGAAATGGGTTTGACTTGGGAATCCAGCCAGGAAGCGGGGGACTGACTGATTCCAAAGACCACAAGAGACTCAGTTCACCTCTGAGTTCTGGAAGGCATAAATTTGGCCATATAAATACAGGTGAAAGCATAAAACCAGACCAAACTGCTGAAAGGCCTGACATTTCCCTGCTCTCTCCCCTTACTGAGGGAGGAGAAGAAAGTTAGTGACCCCAGATGGTGGAGAATGGAATTGCAGGTTTCTGTTTCCAATCCAAGACTTGGGGGAGCACACTGTGTCCAACCTCCTCAGCCCTCAAACTGGAAGATCCTCCTAATCCAACTCAGAAAAAAAGTCTCCTTTCTATTATGAAGGCTACCCTCCATTGTCACCTGTTCACCTCAGCTAATTGCTGAGAATCATTCAGCTAATTGCATTTGGTTGGGAAGGGGAAGAGTCTTGAATCCTTCTGAAATATGAATTACCTCTTTTCAATCAGACAACTATTATGCCATAGCAACCCAGAGCAAATCTTCAACTCCATTCAGGATCCCCAAGACAAGATGGAATCCCAGATTCTGGCCCACCAGAATCCAATTTTTATTCTTACAAATTGTCTCCCCCACACACATCCCCTTGTAGTCATTCAACAAGTATCTCTCCAAAAGGGTCTTACAGAATGCCAGCCCCTCACATCTTTTCAGGACCTTACCACCGATAAATTGTTTGATTCTCCCAAGAGCCTGGTGAGGCTCTGGTGTGGGGAGAAGAATTTCTTGATGCAGAGTATCACGCTCCTCTTCTGTTTCAGACAAGGTACCAGCTTCAGTAATACTAAGATACCAGCTTTGGTGCCAGGTTCAGTAGCTCCTAATCTCCTGGAGCTCACAGTCTAGGGTGGAGGTGGGGGAGACGCTCAGTGCCAGACACAAAAAGCACTTTCTGGTGGTACAGGCGAATGTCTTAACAGAGGCGCAGTAAGTGGGCCCCAAGGAATGAGAGTGCTACTGATGGGAAATAGAGTATCTGAGAAGGGACGCAGGTTGGAGGGGTTCAAAATGCATCCCATGGCAGTTCAAGGCTGGGCGTCCTGTGGGGGCGTGGGAGTGTAGGAGAGTAGGGGAGGGGCGAAGGGGGGATAGAGTCCTCTCCCTCTGTGGTCTGTAATTAGCTCAGTCTTCCTCTCTGCCTCCTCAGATCACAAGGATGCAGAGTGTCTCTGCTTCCCCTAAAATTAAGGTTTTCCTCTGGTGGATGCTCATCCCAGGGTTTTGGGAGTCAGGACACGGAGAGAAATAAAACTCAAAGCTGCTGTTCTGAATTTCCCCGCAGATCTGGCGGTGAATAAAGCCATGTTGCACACGCGATAATGGCCAGCAGGTGCCGCCAACAGCTATCCCAAGTCTGTCTACACCCACAGGCTCTAGCCCCGACCCCTGCAACCCGCCGGTCTGGTTCTGGAAACTTTTCCTAGTGGCTATAACTCTCAATAGAAAAAAAGAAAAGAAAAAAGTTTGAAACTCTGACTGCCTGTATATGTGCGTGTGTGATGTGTGTGTCCTAGGCCAGTTACATTACCTCTCTGAGCCTCAATGTTTTCATCCGTACAATGGGAATAACTCCCTACACTTTGGCAGTGACTGCCACAATGCAAGGCACTCAGAAGGTGCTCCATAAATGCAATTGCCCTTTGGGTCTGGGTTGAACAGGCTCTAGCTGGGTGCCATCTAGGCAGTGGGTGTTTAGTCTCTGTCTCTGGACATCTGGTGTGCCCATAACTGACCTCAGGTCCTCCTGGGGTAGGCAGGGGTCCACCCCAGTGCTGCTGGATCCCCAGGTATCTGGTATGGATAGTATGTCCTCTTCCCGCTGCCCACACAACCATTAGTGGCATCTTGCCCAACCCTATCTGTGCCACGCACTTTAATCGTCTTTTTCTTCCACTGCACCTCCCCCCCAAGTTGCCAAGGGCTTTGCTGTGAACACCATATAAGGGGACCAGGAATAGGTAGCCCATCATCAGAGTGAGGATGAGCTTGCAAAAGGCAATGCAGACCCTAAGAGTGGGAGAGAGTCTTGCTAGCCACCCCAATAACCCAGTATCCATTGCTGGAGACCTTCACAAGCCAATTATGCCTTGGACTGCTCCTGTAGCCCTGGACAGGGCCAGGATGAGGGGTCAAAGGGAAGAGAGTGGAGGGAGGCTCTAGATGGTGGGAATGCATGCCCTGAGGACTGTGTGAGGCGCTTGGGTTGTTGTTTGGAGACAGAAAAAGAGAGAGACGAGTGTCCCCACTTGAACTGCTGACCTGGAAGAGGGCTGCGTGTGCGGGAGTGCCTGCACGTATGCACACACACGCACACACCCCATGCTGCTTCCCACCCCCTGTGCCCTGGGCCAAGGGAGCACTTGTAGAGTGGGTTGGAGCGGAGACAGAAGGGACAGGGACAGAGGCTGTGGAGAGCATTAGGGCAGCTTGCTGGGTGACTTCAGGCAAGTCCTTTGGCCTGGGTTGAGTAATATCCACTTTACAGACTCCATATAATCAGGAGGGGATGACCCATATAAAACTGCTTTGTGAACCATGGCGGGGAGCTGGGTTACCCAGGCCATGTCCCCTTCCCAGGAATGCAGGGAGGTCCCAGTCCCAGAGCCATTCTCTGTCCCTCCCCCCCACACACACACAGCAATAGCTTCCCCCCTCCTCAACAGCCATGCTTGGTGCCAACTGCTCAGCTTCAAGCCTTCCCACCAGAATCTTCTGCTGCCCTCCGCTCTGAGATTCAACTGTGTTGGGCCCATGCTGCACACCTCTCCTCTCTGAGGTGTCTGAGGGTGGAGTGGGGGACCTTCTACACATCCCACAGGGCTCTAAACCCTCTGGCTTTTCTTTTTTTTTTTTTTATAAATTAATTTTTATTGGTGTTCAATTTACCAACATACAGAATAACACCCAGTGCTCATCCCGTCAAGTGTCCTCCAGCTGCCTGCCCTGTGCTGCTGTGGGGAGCAGGTGGGCCCTGAGAGGGCGAGGAGTTCAATCATCTTTGCCTCCCACAACCACCATTGCCCTTCTCCAGGTTAGAGCCATTGGGGGAGGGGCTGCCCCCATCACCGCCATCAGTACAGAGTGCAGGAAGACTCATGGTCACCTGACACCCAGCAGACTGAGACACAGCAGACTGAGAGTGTGTGGGTCCTGTGTGGCGGGTCTCAGTGTCTATGTTGGAGGTGCGGGGAGTGGGGGACATGGTGAGTGCTCATGGTAGGAACACCCTGGACATGCCCCTCTTGGACATCCCCTGCCCCACTCAAAAATGAGCACTGAGGCTGGCA